AATGATCACTGCTCTAAAGAAATCTTGCCCTGGATGTATCAAACTGAACAAGATTCCATTCGCAGCATTTGAAGCTGATGTCCCTGACGTCCTCAAATCCATCCAACCTCCTTTCTCCTACTGTCAAGCTGACATCTTTGGACCTGTTCTTGCACACAAAGACGGTACCAAGACCAAGAGATGGATCCTGGTAATCCTCTGCCTTTCCAGTCGCGGGGTGCATCTGGAAATCCTACATAACTACAGCGCCCAGAGTATCACCAGAGGTTTTAATAGAGCCTTCTGGATTGACGCTGGACTGAACATTGTCAAGGCTGGCAAGGACTTGGTCAACACTGAGATGAAGGTCATCTCCAACCTCAATTTGAAATTCACGTCTATCGAGTTCAGAGTTACTCTACCCAAACACCCTGTCGGTATTGGAGCTGTTGAAAGAATAATCGGTTCCATCAAGAATACTGTCACCAAATCCCTCATCGGACCACACCAGCTGATCATGGATGACGAGGAACTGCTTACCTGGACGCATGGAGTCATTGAAAAACTTAACAACAGACCACTTATCCCTGGAGCACCACTTGGCATCACCCTCACTCCCAACCACGTTCTCCAAGGGTTTCGAGAGTGTTTCGGAGACGAGGTCAACCCTACAGCATCCATCAATCAACAAATCTCCAGGTGGAATGTTGTCCTCAACTTGTTCCACTCATTATGGGAACAGGAGTACACCGGACGCAAGTTCACCCTCACCTGGAAGGACCAGGGCAACCTCCCTCAGGTTGGAGATATAGTCCTGTTTAAGAATGAACCTATATACAAGAACCCGCTCTCAGCTGCCAGAGTAGAGCAGCTCCTCTGCAGAAAGAACGGAGACGTCTATGGCGCCACTATCAGCTATCCTCGTGAAGTAGGTGGACGTAAAATAGTAGTGGACAGACACCTCAACCAACTGTACCCGTTCATGAACCTAGAAGCTCAGTGTCCTCAAGAAATGGTACCCAGCCTAACCTCGGACTCCACAGAAGCAAGGAATCTAGCTCCAAGTTCCAGACCGGAGCCCGCACAGGACGAGATCCTCGCAGAGCTCAACGAGATCAATCAATAGAGCTAATACAAACATCAATGCAGGAATCAACTATTTAAACATTTAATTTCTTCCTTCTTTTTTATTAGAAAACAAACTGGAAAACGTTTCAATTCAAATTACTTAAATTTCCCTAGAAAACCTAAATAAAGAACATTTAAACTAAAGTTTGACATTGACACTATCACTTGCATTTATTTATTGAATCAATAATGACCTTTTCTGTCTTAATTACTTCTCGCATTTTAATTCTTTATTTTAATCATGTTCGAGATCTCAATACATTCTCAGTTACTATTAATTTCCTTTTTTTTAATTCTCTTCGCAACCAAATTACAAAGAATGTGCGCTATCTACACATTTACTCCATTATTTAATCTCATCAATTATTCGCCAATTAATCACAGTATTAATTAATGTACCTAGTATTATTACATCTGTTAATTTCAATCAATCAATCTAGTAACTATCAATCATTCAAACTACATGTTTTAAACATTGTTAATGGTTATGTTTTCATTCTCGTATGTTATCCTAACATCCTCAAACCCTGCCTGGGGCTATTGTTAACCATTAACTTTAAGACCTCCGTGTAATGTCGTCTTCAACTTAAGTCCCCTCTTGGAGCCACCAAACCATAAAATTTTAACCCCACATTTTCTTTGTCTCCAAGGACGGAGCCTAAACACTTTCGATTATTGTGAACCCATAAAAGTTAAACAAGAATATTTTCATATGAAGAATTAGTGAATTTCGTTAAATATTCAACTGTCATTTATTTCAGAAGTTTTAATAAAAAAAACGTCCTTCAACACTGACCAACAATAAGTTACCCTTTATCATCTTTTAGTGTTTGTATTCAAGCAGGGATATCCTGTAGTGTTCGTATTCAAGCAGGGATATCCTGTAGTGTTTGTATTCAAGCAGGGATATCCCGTGTAGTGTTTGTATTCATGCAGGGATATCCCGTGGTGTTTGTATTCAAGCAGGGATATCCCATAGTGTTCGTATTAAAACAAGGATATCCCGTAGTGTTTGTATTTAAGCAGGGATATCCCGTAGTGTTCGTATTCAAGCAGGGATATTCTGTAGTGTTTGTATTCAAGTAGGGATATCCCTTAGTGTTTGTATTCAAGCGAGGGATATCCCGTAGTATTCGTATTCAAGTCAGGGATATCCCATAGTGTTTGTATTCAAGGGAGGGATATCCCATAATGTTCGTATTCAAGCATGGATATCCCTTAGTGTTCATATTCAAGTCAGGGATATTCCGTAGTGTTCGTATTCAAGCAGGGATATCCCGTGGTGTTCGTATTTAAGCAGGGATATCCCGTAGTGTTCGTATTCAAGCAGGGATATCCCGTAGTGTTCGTATTCTAGCAGGGATATCCCATAGTGTTCGTACTCAAGCAGAGATATCCCGTAGTGTTCGTATTCAAGCAGGGATATCCTGTAGTGTTCATATTCAAGCACAGATATCCGGTAGTGTTCGTATTCAAGCAGGGATATCCCGTGGTGTTCGTATCAAGCAGGGATATCCGTAGTGTTCGTTATCAAGCAGGGATATCCCGTAGTGTTCGTTATCAAGCAGGGATATCCCGTAGTGTTCGTATTCAAGCAGGGATATCCCGTAGACGTGGTCAACCCTACAGCATCCATCAATCAACAAATCTCCAGGTGGAATGTTGTCCTCAACTTGTTCCACTCATTATGGGAACAGGAGTACACCAGACGCAAGTTCACCCGTCACCTGGAAGGACCAGGGCAACCTCCCTCAGGTTGGAGATATAGTCCTGTTTAAGAATGAACCTATATACAAGAACCTGCTCTCAGCTGCCAGAGTAGAGCAGCTCCTCTGCAGAAAGAACGGAGACGTCTATGGCGCCACTATCAGCTATCCTCGTGAAGTAGGTGGACGTAAAATAGTAGTGGACAGACACCTCAACCAACTGTACCCGTTCATGAACCTAGAAGCTCAGTGTCCTCAAGAAATGGTACCCAGCCTAACCTCGGACTCCACAGAAGCAAGGAATCTAGCTCCAAGTTCCAGACCGGAGCCCGCACAGGACGAGATCCTCGCAGAGCTCAACGAGATCAATCAATAGAGCTAATACAAACATCAATGCAGGAATCAACTATTTAAACATTTAATTTCTTCCTTCTTTTTTATTAGAAAACAAACTGGAAAACGTTTCAATTCAAATTACTTAAATTTCCCTAGAAAACCTAAATAAAGAACATTTAAACTAAAGTTTGACATTGACACTATCACTTGCATTTATTTATTGAATCAATAATGACCTTTTCTGTCTTAATTACTTCTCGCATTTTAATTCTTTATTTTAATCATGTTCGAGATCTCAATACATTCTCAGTTACTATTAATTTCCTTTTTTTTAATTCTCTTCGCAACCAAATTACAAAGAATGTGCGCTATCTACACATTTACTCCATTATTTAATCTCATCAATTATTCGCCAATTAATCACAGTATTAATTAATGTACCTAGTATTATTACATCTGTTAATTTCAATCAATCAATCTAGTAACTATCAATCATTCAAACTACATGTTTTAAACATTGTTAATGGTTATGTTTTCATTCTCGTATGTTATCCTAACATCCTCAAACCCTGCCTGGGGCTATTGTTAACCATTAACTTTAAGACCTCCGTGTAATGTCGTCTTCAACTTAAGTCCCCTCTCGGAGCCACCAAACCATAAAATTTTAACCCCACATTTTCTTTGTCTCCAAGGACGGAGCTTAAACACTTTCGATTATTGTGAACCCATAAAAGTTAAACAAGAATATTTTCATATGAAGAATTAGTGAATTTCGTTAAATATTCAACTGTCATTTATTTCAGAAGTTTTAATAAAAAAAACGTCCTTCAACACTGACCAACAATAAGTTACCCTTTATCATCTTTTAGTGTTTGTATTCAAGCAGGGATATCCTGTAGTGTTCGTATTCAAGCAGGGATATCCTGTAGTGTTTGTATTCAAGCAGGGATATCCCGTGTAGTGTTTGTATTCATGCAGGGATATCCCGTGGTGTTTGTATTCAAGCAGGGATATCCCATAGTGTTCGTATTAAAACAAGGATATCCCGTAGTGTTTGTATTTAAGCAGGGATATCCCGTAGTGTTCGTATTTAAGCAGGGATATCCTGTAGTGTTCGTATTCAAGCAGGGATATCCCGTAGTGTTCGTATTCAAGCAAGGATATCCCGTAGTGTTTGTATTTAAGCAGGGATATCCCGTAGTGTTCGTATTTAAGCAGGGATATCCTGTAGTGTTCGTATTCAAGCAGGGATATCCCGTAGTGTTCGTTATCAAGCAGGGATATCCCGTAGTGTTCGTTATCAAGCAGGGATATCCTGTATTCTTAACTTAAATGGAGGGATATCCTGTAGTGTTCGTTATCAAGCAGGGATATCCTGTAGTGTTCGTTATCAAGCAGGGATATCCCGTAGTGTACGTTATCAAGCAGGGATATCCGGTATTCTTAACTTAAATGGAGGGATATCCCGTAGTGTTTGTTATCAAGCAGGGATAACCTGTAGTGTTCGTTATCAATCAGGGATATCCCGTAGTGTTCGTTATCAAGCAGGGATATCCCTATTCTTAACTTAAATGTGGTGTTCGTATTTAAGCACGGATATCCCGTAGTGTTCGTATTTAAGCAGGGATATCCCGTAGTGTTCGTTATCAAGCAGGGATATCCCGTAGTGTTCGTTATCAAGCAGGGATATCCCGTATTCTTAACTTAAATGGAGGGATCAACCATTTGGTATCCAATGTAAAATTGCGAACATTGAATTTTTAGATCAAGACAAAGAATACTCAACTCAAAAGTTCCCGCCTGTTAATAGTTCAAACTAAGAATTTGATTTAGGAGTCAATCTTTCAATAATTTAAACATTTATTCTTCTCCTAGTTCTATAATAAATACCAATAAATAATAAACATTAATATTAATTAGGTACAAATGCTATATTACAATGCGTAGCAGTTCGTGTACAAATTCAGGAAAAAATTCCCATCCTTAAAGGGAATTACTGGGGGCAGAAACGTCATGTGTTTTTGTCTGTACCAAAAAAGTGTGCGTATGTAATAAGGAACCAAAAGTATACAGTGCAGAAGAATCGCAGAATTTGTACAGTCTAGGAGAGTACATTATAACTAATTAGATATGTTTTAATATGCTTTGATATTTGTTGTGTACATGTCAGAAAATTACTTTAAACTCAGCTAATTATTCTAATCAGTGTATATAAACTATTTTGCATAAGATAAAATCGCACCCTATTCTCTAATAGTTCTCCTTAAATCTATTAGATTGAAATGTGTTGTTATCATTATTGAAATTAGGTGGAAAAAATAATCAAAACAGCCAAGAGCTATTTTCCACCTAATTCAGGGAGCAAGGAATAAGAAGGGAGAGACAACTGACGCGGTTCGCCCTACCATATGATTATACATGCTTTGCAGACGGTACTCCATTTTATATCGAGCTGTTTGATTTTTTAGTAGGGCCCCACAGGAAAAATATGTATTGGCTCAATTTTCTTTCACCAGTTTCGCCAATACATATTTTTCCTGTAGGGCCCTACTAAAGAAACCAAACAGCTCGATATAAACTTTTAATTTAAAATTTAGGAGAGCCCCCCTATAGGTTCGCTAGAGGTATAGAGTAACTCTACATATGGTTCAAATACTCTAGATACTTTAGAAGAGCCTCTCTATAGGTTCGCTAGAGGTATAGAGTAACTCTACATATGGTTCAACTACTCTAGATACTCTAGGAGAGCCTCTCTATAGGTTCACTAGAGGTATAGAGTAACTCTACAGATAGTTCAACTACTCAAAGATACTATGGAGACCCTCCCTATAGGTTCACTTGAGGTATAGAGTAAATCTACAGATAGTTCAACTACTCATAGATACTATGGAGACCCTCCCTAGGAGAGCCTCCCTATAGGTTCGCTAGAGGTATAGAGTAACTCTACATATGGTTCAACTACTCTAGATACTTTAGAAGAGCCTCTCTATAGGTTCGCCAGAGGTATAGAGTAACTCTACATATGGTTCAACTACTCTAGACACTCTAGGAGAGCCTCTCTATAGGTTCACTAGAGGTATAGAGTAACTCTACAGATAGTTCAACTACTCATAGATACTATGGAGACCCTCCCTATAGGTTCACTTGAGGTATAGAGTAAATCTACAGATAGTTCAACTACTCATAGATACTATGGAGACCCTCCCTATAGGTTCACTAGAGGTATAGAGTAAATCTACAGATAGTTCAACTACTCTGGATGTTAGAACTGAGCTTAGTGAGAGGTTCACTAAAGCAGGAGAGTGCACTATGCACAATTAGAGATGTCCAATGGGATTCCTTACTCGAGTTGGATCTATGAAAAAAGGCACTGGAGATACAGAACAGCTAGGACAGCCTCATTCTCATCATCCACTACTCTAGATACTCTAGGAGAGCCTCCCTATAGGTTCACTGGAGGTATAGAATAAATCTACAGCTAGTTCAACTACTCTAGATACTCGCAACCATAGTGTCATGAGACTATTTCGAGCTACAGCTAATTCAACTACTCTAGATATTTGAGCTGAGCCTAATAAGAGGTCCACTGGAAATACAACGCAAGTAATAAATCTAAGACAATGAGGTTCTACTCCAGTCCAGCTAGTTTAACTACTCTCGTACCGGCCTGAATTTGGACTACCTCAGAGAACGCATAAGAGGACTAGGATGTCATAGACTTATCTCCTATCTGACAACAATGATAATAACAACGAGGATCTATGAGGACAGGATATCTAGATATGAATGAGATAATCCAGGATACCAGGTGCTATACCATCCTGGGATTGAAGAGGTTGCTCTTTGTAGACAGCTCTTCACATATCTGGAGAGATTTATATCCTTTAGTTCTGGGCCTGGACCAATTACTCTTGTACCAGCCCGTCTAAAATCCTAATAAGGATATAGAGAGGATATCCAGGAACAAGGATATCCAGGATAAAGAGAGAAATTAGAAGCTCTAGGATACCAAGGGGAACTAAGAATATCAAGAACTAGAATATCCAGGATACAGAGAGGAACTAGAAGCTCTAGGATACCGAGTGGAACTAAGGATACCAGGAACTAGAATATCCAGAATACATAGAGGGACCAGGAGCTCTAGGATATCGAGGGGAACTAGGATATCATAAACTAGGATATCATGAACTAGGATATCATGAACTAGGATACAGATAGGGAATAAGATATCCAAGACATAGAGAAGAACTGGAATATCCCGCCAGATTTAGGTCTCCAAGAGCAACATACAAGATAATCTTTGGGCAGGATATGTTGCTCCTCACACACAGCTCTTCAAGACCTATTGTAGAAGCAACTAGGAATGTAAGGGAAGCATCTCAGCTATAGAGAGAATCTCAGGTTATAGGAGCAGCTGTGGATATTGTAGACATCTCATACTCTTGGAGCAGCTGTGGATATCGTGGATCTATCATATGCTCTTGGAGCAGCTGTGGATATCATGGACATATTTCATACTCTAGGAGCAGCTGTGGATATATCATATGCTCTTGGAGCAGCTGTGGATATCATAGACATATTTCATACTCTAGGAGCAGCTGTGGATATCTTAGTCTAGAAGCATCTCCGCAACCAGAGTGACAGAGACTCAAAGAGCAGCTCGTTAATGCACAGCTAACATGTCAGAGATTCAAAGAGCAGCTCGGTAATGTACAGCTAACATATCAGAGACTCAAAGAGCAGCTCGTAATGTACAGCTAACTTTGTATTCACCCTTATTGGAAGAAGGGCAAACGGTGGACCTTGACGTCCCTAGGATTATATTTGGAATTTGAATGATATAAAGATTACAACTTTAATCACTCCAACAAATAGTCCAATAACTATACTATACTATACTTTATCTGTACTTCAAACAAAACTAGTAGAAAAAAAAGAATTGTTTCTAAACACTCCACATTTTTTATACTGCTATGTTAGTAATAATTAGTGTTTAAACTTGAGATAGTATAAACATTTTTAAAAATGAAAAACTCAACTTAAACTTAAATTCTATGAGATGAAAAACGGACAAAGGTCCAGGTAATGATAATGACTTGTTAAAGTTTCTGTTTTGAAAAAAAGTAGGGGTATTATAGTTAAAGTTCTTCCTTCATGTTTGCTATGGCTGGCCAAACGGCGGAATCAAATGGGCTGAATTTTAGTGAGGAAACTCATGGATACCCTTGGAGATGACATAAGCTAAATAAATTATAAGTTTTTGTTTTAATTCGATTTTTAAAATTCCACGGGCAACGCCTGGCACATCAGCTAGTTTGTAATAAAAAGAAAGATTACAAAACGGCGGTGCAATGAATAAAGTAAATTATAAATCCAAACAAAAAAATGGTCTTTTACTACCACCAAACTCAAGCCTTCGTTGCTTGGCATTTAAAAATAATTGTTTTAAATTCATCCGATTAGGATGAATGTGGTGGATTCTCATTTGAACTACTCCTGTTTGAACTATTGTTCGTTTGAACTACTAACATGACGTCATATCCTGTAGTTCAAATGAACACTTTGCATGCTTTTTCTACCTTAATTTAAATTTTAACTCTTCTTTATATAGTTATGTGCCCTATATTCACTGAGGACCCACAACTTTGTTTTAAGACAAAGGATGAAATTGTCATTGATTTCGATTAGGCAAATAATCATTTCTAACAACAACTTTCGTCATTTTCTAAAATCATTTCACCCAACAAAAGAACTTTTATTATTAATTCATACTTTCAACGAAGAATGTTTGTTGATATTTTAATGTCCAATAGAGGAGGCCTGTGAACTATTAGAGCAGGTGGCCAGTCACACCCTCCTTCCCCGAAAGAGCATAAAATTTATTTGCAACCTTTCATATTGTTAACTGTTCCAACTTGTATAGTCGGAATTATTTTTTAATATAATTTCTTGGGTATTTGCTTATACTTACTTGGAATACTTGATGAGTTATCCCCAGGACTCCAGGTAGGAGTAAAGCGGAAATTTCAGTCAGGTCCTCTCGGAGTAGTGATCCTGTCCTCTAGATTTGTGTATACTCTGGCTCACTAGTCCTGGCATCGGAATTCAAGGTGTTAAAGATGGGCGTCAAGTAGAGATTCAAAAATATTTAGACTTTGCATCCTTGATTTTAATAGATAAAGTCTTCCATAAGTTTACCACCCGGTTTGAGTAGAAGTTTCGTCGGAGATCAGTCCTTGAGGGTTTTGGTACCAAGATATCCTTGTAAGACGTCATTTTTGTGTGTCTTGTAACGTCTGAGCCGACAAAAATGGAACCTCACAAATATGATATAAAATTAATCTTATAAGGATAAAAAATGTAATTCTGAAACTGATGAAATAATCTTCGTGCATTCTTTAACTCAGGCCATCTCGTTTAAGAATTTCCATTATTACATTTTTTCCTCATAATATTATAATATATATATATATATATATATATATCTTCGTTGCTATACACAGTCAACTTCGGATTAATTGCTATCTAAGTTTGGTGTATAACAATTTTTGTATTATCAATGATTTAAAATGAGTTATTTTTTTTTGTATAGACTAGCAAGTTATATAAAATCAATATGTTTTTTTTTATTATATTATATCTACAGCGTTATCTTTGCTTGCATATAATTAATTGTACCATCATTGTGTGCGAAATAAAGTTTTATGGTAATAATAATAATATTAGTAAATCATTATTTGAATAATTAAAAAAAACAAAAAAATGATGATGATAATATTTGTGAAAAGTATTAATATTAATATAATTATGAAATTATTCTTAAAGGCGGAGAAGAATACATTGGCGGATGCTCTGCGTGAGAGTGAGGCAGAAGTGCGCCGGTTACGCGGAGAGCTGAGTGGTCGTGAAGATGTAGTGCGCCGGCTTGAGGAGCAGAATAGCTTGCTGGTCAGACGAGCTGAACAAAGATCTCAGGAACTACAATCTGCCAGGTACCTTTTAACCCCCTTTCTACCTGTTGATCTCCCCTCCCCCTCTTTCAGTTTCTAACTCCTCCCTTCTCCTTCCAGTTAATACCAAACCCCCCGTTTACTCTTCCATTTATTCACTCACCCTCCCATTTACTCATCCATTTATTTACATCCATTTATTTACTCCCCCTCCCGTTTACTCGTCCATTTATTTACTCCCCCTCCCATTTACTCTTCCATTTATTTACTCCCCCTCCCATTTACTCTTCCATTTATTTACTCACCCTCCCATTGATTTTTTTCGTTAATTTTTTCCCATAAATTAAAATTGCGCTTGAACCTAATAAATTGGTGATTTACTCTCGCAAAAAATAAATTTGGTTTAATAACAAAAGTTATTCATATTTATTATGTGGAAGAGAGAGGGGAAGAAAATCACTCATGGCAAGGGGATGAGGGGGGTGGGAATGTATGAATTATTTTTAGCGTTAAAACGACAGAATATCATTCAGCCTTATTAACAGAAAGGTCGACGTACACAAAAGAAAACTTAAGAGGTAACTGTTATTAATGTTCAGATCTGAGTTGACCAGCTTGAAGGAACGGGCTCGTGAAATGTTGCTAGCTCAGGGTGCTGAGCTTAGTAGAGCTAGTTTAGCCGTTTCTCAGATATATTCTAAACTTGATCTTTACTTCCCGGGATCTCAGGTTAGTTTTAGTGTTTTATTTTATTTTTCATATCCATCATCGAACCCTGATTTTAAGTCACGGTGACCTTTATACCTCAGAGCAACCCTGTGTACGAAAAAAATCGTATTTTTCACCTGAAAACGTGTTGAACAAAGATAAAAGGTATGAAGAGGGTTGGTTATTTTTCATTTTAATTTTCTCAATTCTTTAAAATATACTGTCCTAACTCCCAAATGTTAAGTGTGAGATGGAGGATGATGAGGAGAATAGTTCTAGTGACTCAAGGTCCGAGGGTCTAGAGCTAGGGTTGGAACTAGGACTGGAGAAGGGGAGACGATCCTCTCAGTTCCTTGTTACTCCGACAGAGAACCTGGATACCCTCAGTGATTTTTCCAGAGCTATGATGTCTGCTAGCACAGGGTCTGATACTCTAGGTAAACCTAGTTCTTTGTTTCAGAGGTAGCTATTTACAGAAAACAAATGCAAAATTATAAAAAGTATTTTATTTACAAAAAGAATTCTTGATTTATACTCCTTTTCATCCTTTTGGTGTTGGTAGACCTTTTATATATAAAACCATAAATTTTGCTAGATCATAGGTCTCAAGACAAACACACCCTAGGTAGGCTAGAAGTCATGTCACTTATTCTTTTTTTCAGAAGTGGATTTTTTACTTAAATGTCCACTTTTTTAGGATTCGAAAACCAAGCATTCGTAGATTTCAAATTATTTTGTCTGAAATGTTAAACAATATTTTCGGTTACTAAATCCCTGAATCATGATCTTTAATAGTATTTATTTCCCAGCCACTGACAGTTGTCTTCAAACTAGCATCTTCTAAAAAAAATTAATTCTGTAAACTTCAGTTGTTTCACATTGTACTTTTTGGTCAAGCAGAATTCTTAGTGTACAAAGGGTCTAATAAAATTTTTATTCTTCCATATTTTCTTTACTAAAAGGGGGTGGTTAAACATGTTCATTGTATCCTTTTCATTAAATGAAATATCTGCTTTTAGGTGATAATGGAACTTCCATAAGTTCTCTAGCGCTAGCCATCGCTGATAGAAAACATTCAGAATCACATGGACAGGTAGGAAGCTTTTAATTGATCTACAAATCGATCTACTCTCAAAGGTTGAGACGTTGGAGACGACTGTACAGAATTTATACTGCCTGTTTCCTTATATTAGCGATTCTCTGCAACGATTCATTGCTAAATCATTAAATTTAAAGACTAAATTTAATGCAGAAGATTCAATTTAACCAGTGGATCGTCGTATAATATGAGTTTTATGTCGTCGTTACAAAATCATTCTTTGTGGGAAACCCTATCTACCATCGACCCCCTCTCCCCGTATAGGTTCTCCTCTTTTTTAGTGAGAATTTGATTTCTATTTTTTTATTTGAATGATTTATCTATCATCATGGTTTGACATCTCGTTCTTAATGATTTGATTTGATATGTAGTTAAAAAGTCTACTGAAATATGAAAGGGGCTCGGAATGAAGTTTCGTATTTTTATTTTTATTTTCTTCTCATCGAGATATTTTTAGATCGGAGCAGAACATGTTCCGTCCCTCGCTGATCAGGTTTATCAGTTAGATCTTGTTATCTCCAAGATACTCTCTACACAGCAGCAGTCTTCAACCACACACCAGGAGATTCCTAGACCCAACCTGAACCTGGAGGAGACAAGGTTTCAGGTAGTTTTGTTAAAGGGACTGTAAGCGTAAATTTAAGTGACCCTCTATGCAAACATGGCAATCTCCGATTTACAACGGTATCCTTAAAAGCTTTGTCTGCTTAAGTATAAATTATATATCAATGTTTTTTATTAAGAAAACTGATTATTTTCAATTAGTTAGACAGTACACACTTTTCAATCTCGAAAAAACAACAATATCTTGCACATTATTGATCAGATAAAGGTTTCAAGGGTACCGTTGTGAATCGGACATTGACATCTTGTAGTAAGGGCCACTCAAACGCAAGTATTAGAAACAAACATGATTTTTGTATTCCTATAGTAAAATCTATTAAAATCGGACTGCTTCCTCCTAACAATTTCCCTAAAATATGGTATGAACATAAACAACACTTTTCTAAGCTTTCAAATATCAATCTTATTTCTAATTTTAAACAGAATTTAATTGAAGATTTTATCAGCAGAACCAATGTTTTAATTTTAACACATGCGATGTTTGCAAATGAAGCGACGAAAGCAAAAGCCTAGAACCTATATATTTTTCACAACCCATAAAGCCTACTTTATTTTATTTTTTAGCATTAAAAATAAATCTATTATTTTTATATCTAAAAGTTGTTAATTCATCGTCGAAAAATACTAACAATCCAGCACCAGTTTATATTAGATATAATGTAAACAATAAATATGTAACTTTCCTTTTCCTTTGATTTTTATTTTTTCTATTTTTTTTTAGAATTGTGGGGAAATATTCCCACAAACTCTATTTTTGGAGGTTTTAAAATATTTTCTCCTGAAACACTTAATTTTGTATGTTTTTGTAATATTTCATAAATAAACAATTACTTACTTACTACTTTCTTAAAATTATGTTCACATTCCCTTTAAGCGATTTGGTTCAACTCTTCAAAATTTTTCATAACACGTTTAACTCTTAGATTAAAGTTTGTTTTTATTCAACTTTGCTTTTATCCTTTAAAGAAATGGAAAAATTATCCAAAAACGATCATTAAAGAATACACTCGTTTTTTGGAATGTTTCTGGGTCGTTATTTATTATATTTTCCGTCAGGGTCAAAATATGTTTGGAATTAACAATTTTGGAATTAACAATTTTAAAATTAACAATTTTGGAATTAACAATTCGGGAATTAACAATTGGATTAACAATTTTGGAATTAAAAATTTTGGAAAATAATTGCTGTTCTTTACTAAGCCAAATTTTGACCCAAACAGAAAATAAAGGAAAAAATAAAACCCCCCAAAAAACCTAAAAGCAAAACAACTTTTTGCACATCACTATTTGCAGGGGGAGAACCTGGAGAACTTGAACCTGGAAGAGACCAAAACTATCATCCTAGAACAGAATAAGGCCCTGGCACAACTTAGGTACTACTAGTGCACTAGAATAGAACTGAACACTCTCTTACTTAACTTAACTTAATGTAAACCTTTGACTGTTTGTTTGACATAGAAGAATTCATAGGTTTACAACTTACAGATACAAAGAATTACTGTTTCAGCAAAGTGTTTCGTTCAGGGGGCGGAAACGTCATGTGTGTGTGTCTGTACCAAAAGAGTGTGTGTACACCGAATACCGAACTCGTCTGCAAAGCAGTGCGACTGGCTTTCTCATGCCAGACCGGCGCCATTACCTTTCCCTTTATTCCTGTTCCCTGGTTCAGTTCCTAAATTTAAAAAAAAGCTGGGGTAAATAATTTTCTCTATCGATATTGAGCCATGAAACTTTTATTCTACCTGACATGTAAACAATTATTTAGCTAGCAGACTGAAAATCAAAGCTGGTTTTTAAAACAACTCTTAAGGGACTGTTCAAGCGTACAGTGACCCTCCACGAAAAGATGCCAACGCCAAATTTACAACGTTACCCTTGAAACTTTAATCTCATTAAAAATATGGATTCTGGAACATTACGTCGTTTTCTTGGCTTTACAAGTGTTTATTTCCGTCGTTTTCTTGGCTTGACAAGTGTTTATTTCTGTCGTTTTCTTGGCTTGACAAGTGTTTATTTCCGCCGTGTTCTTGGCTTGACAAGTGTTTATTTCCGTAAGCTCCTCCATTGCTTCCTACAAAAGATGCGCAAGCCACTATCACAGAGAACCCGCAAATGAAAATAAACAGTTTAAAGAAACCAAAATATTGATTTCTGATTCATACCTAACCAGATAAAGGTTTTAAAAGTACGTAAATGGGGCATTGCATCTTTGCAGGGAGGGAAATTACGCTTTCATTAATTTTTTTATTGTTTTAGAAACATGATGGAGTCCAGAGAGGAGTCCCAGCAGGAAATGAAGAATAAGTTCATTAAGAACCGGGAGATCCTGACCTCGAACTGGGAGCAGGCCGAGGAGGAGGTCAGGAAGATCGACGAGATCTACCACCAGACCGTCAACAGGGTCATCAACACTCTCAAGGACCTACCGGAGATAGTAGACTCTAATCCGAACCTAGGGAACCTCATGAGAACCCTACTCCAGGATGATGCATTGAACAGTGCGGACGGAGTCAACGGTAATCTTGGAGTAGGAAAAACTAGGAAATCTGATAATGCGCTTACCCGGAGTCTTGCAGATGAAACTCCATCAAATACCTTCCAGAATTCAAGGAACATGAGCCAGAGTCTGTTCCTTGATGGTCTTGTTCCAGTAGGAATGAGAACAGGAGTTTTCAGTGAACCATGTTTGGCTAAATCTCCTTTAGGTAGTGTTCCATCCATCCTCTCCAGTCCTAGGATACAGGAGGAGGATCTAAATGCAAACCAATCCCTTTAAATCTACTAAACAGTTCTTTATAATCCACCGAACATTACAACACCTTCAGAATATACCAAACAATAAAACAATCTCTTTAGGTTCAAATAATACTTGAATCTACTAAATCTACCAAATTATTCCTTGTAAATCTACCATAAAAGTCGCTTCAAATCTGCCTAATAATTTTATTAGAATGAACCAAATAATCCAGTTTGAAACTACCTGATAATAATCTACCAAACAAACTCTGTTTATTTTTGAGTTGTTGAAAACTGTTAACCAACGACCAATCGAATTCTATCTAGTAACTAGTAAATAGAATTTAGATTTATTTGATATTAAAAAAATTAATCTAGTGTACGTCACAAGCGTTCTTTGTTTTTCAACCAAACTCTAAATGCAACATAGCCCAAAACAATCAAAAAATAATTTTATTCTTTTGCAAATCTCATTTAAAATAGATCTATGAAAATTAAAATAACTGCATTATAAATTAATTGTAAGTTTATATTGGAATCCATCAAAAACTTTATATTTTTACTTGAACATCAAAGAAAATGTCATGGTGAAGAATTTACTTTGCATTATTAAAGAAAATGTTTGAATATGCTTGAATATGCTTGATATTATGCACAAAGCAAAGCCTAGCTCACAAACCCAAGAAAAGACAACTTGAGATGGAATTTAAAGAATTTGAGCCGCGGTTTAAATCTGCCAAAACCCAGTTTAAATTAAGTGCCGGCTTAAATCTTGAAACATTTGATACAATTTTAAGTGGCACCAACCATATTTAAGCCGCGGCTCAAATTCTTTAAATTCGGCCATTGGTCTCATAATTCCAGATAAAAATGGATCTCAGAAAAGTATTTTTATTGTTGAGAACTCCAAATCACAAACTATTGTTCGAAGAATTAAAAACTTCTAAAATTTGTATTATATTTTTTTTTCTAATTGCGTATTTTGTAAATGATTTTGTTTATTTTAGTTGTTGATATTATTCCCTGCAGCATAGTTGTCCTACAGTACATAAGAGCATAATCCATATTCAAAACATGCATAAAATATTGATGTGCCTTGTTTTTCGCTTTAAGATTATACGAAGCCCTAATTTTCAAACGGTTTCTTGTCAGTTGCAATATTAATTTGGTTTGAAACTCCATAAAGGGGCAAAGTTTTATCATTTAAGCATCGGGACTTCTGGTTTGATTGGTTAGATGCGTGTCTAATTAGGAGAGAAAAATGTTTGCAATTTTTATCTCGTAACTCTTTGTGTTAACGCTTGCCTTATAAATTAGAAATGATTAAAGTATATGATCTCCTCCCCCGCCTCTGGTGATATTTCTTTAGAAAATAAATATATTTAATCTGAAACTGAATTTTCTTACAAGTAGTAATATTTGTTCGTTTGTTCGTTATATTTATGTATGTGCGATCATAATTGGGGATTTCCTTGATCGATTTGAATGAGGAACTCAGTATAACTCGTTTTTATATCGTAGTTTTAAGTTTTAGTTGAGTAGATTGAGTAGATTTAGCAAAGACACTTTTTTGGACTTTGGAAAAAACAAACTAATGCAATTTGTATAGGTGGATCTGTTTCAACCAGTCATGATGTATTTTTTACCCATCTGGAAGCAATCGAGAATTTGATAAAAATTGAGTTTCCAGGTGTTTCATGGCAAAGCAATGGCTCATTTATAACTTAATTTTTACAAAATTGTGTGTTTATTATTGTTTTTTTTTTTTTTCTCAGATTATATATTCCATATGAAGTATGAGACACGTAAAACCTAGGATGATCATTTTAGGAAAGTATTGAAAGTCTTCTGAGTGTTTCTATGATTGAGCCATGATAAGCCGGGAGGTGCCGATCATAGCACTAACGATCAGGGTTTGCATCTTCGAGCAAACTCTGTCCTTTTTACAGGATTGAATCCTGGGGACTTTTACGCTAAGTAAAAGGTTTTAAAAAACGATTTGATTGAGGAACTCAGAAGAACTCGTACTTATAGCGAAGTTTTAAGTTTAAGTTGACTAGATTGACTTAACATTGAACAAATTATTCTTTTAAATTTATTTAGTACAATTTTAAATCTTGAATACACAGAGATACATATTACAAATACAAATTCTATTATTAATGGGTGGAAATAATGCCAAGTACGTATATGAATTAACTAAAGGGGAGTTTATATAATATTTTTTACAGATATTAAATTATATTGAATTATTAACTAAACGTTGTAACTGTAAGTGTTAGCTTAGTCAACAGTTGTAAAAAAAATTTGCGCGTCTGCTTGTTTTTTGACTTGTAACAAATTAATAGGAATTTACCAAGAAATTACAATCACGTTTAATAATTCTGTAAGCTACTACTATTACATGAATTGAGCAAAAATTATGTTTAACTCTTTAAATATTTTACTGGTTAACAATCTGTCGCTTTATATACAGGGTGTTTCACTAAACATTCTCTATATATACAGGGCGTTTCACTAAACATTCGCTTTATATACAGGGTGTCCCAATGTACCTTGAAAAATATTTAATTCTGACAATTTTCTCCATTGTTTCTGTAGCATGAATATCCAAGTCACTTCGGGTAAGCACAATTGAAAATAACAAAATTAATTGAAAAATTGACGAGGCAAAGCTTTTTAGAATTGAGAATCGGGCATGCCAAATGGATGGTCACTTGAAATTACAATTACAGTCCCTGTTAAGGGGTTGTTCAGATGGGCTTATTTATATTTTTAATGGATATACAACATTTTTAAATCAAATACGTTTAACTATATGTGCAGACAATAGAAAATTTATAAATCTAAGCGACTCCTAAGATGAGATTTTAAAATCTTAAACCCGAGTGAACCCCAGAGTTGAACTCAGATAGAACCCAAGTCAGGATTGGCTCTGATTCGACCAATTTATAGAGACTGCTTAGAAAGCTGTCTCTCTGTAGCACACAGATTGCTAGCTGTGACAAGGAGATGTAAATTTTGAAATTCGAACTTAACGTAGATACATTATTTGCATAGTATGAATTTATTTTATAAACCTTTGATCAAATTTGAGACCACAAATAATTCCCGAGATTTTAAATGTATACAAATATCAAAGTTTTTTAGAAATTTACTATCATCAGCTACTAAAGACCCGAGCCTTGAAAAGAGAAAAACCCAAGGTGGTTGGTTTTTACTAAACTCAAGGCCATCCAAAACCCGGGTCTTCACTTGAGCTTTACTTGGGTCTAGTAGAGGCAAAGACAGGGTTTAACTCGGGTTTAAGCTTTTAAAATCTCATCTCTGGTCTGGGAGCGGGACCAAATTCGTGACTTAGATAAGAGAATTTCACATTTTGTTTTGAAGATTATTTCCCCTTTTTTGTTGTTTAATTCTGAAGTTGGAGCTTGCATCTAAAGTTCAAATCAAAAATTTGATGTTTAAACAAAACCACGAATTGTTTCTTAGTTTTTCTTCTTCTTCAGTTTCAAATCCTAAAATAATAATTATTAATAATCAAGTTTTCTTGCAGTGGAGAGTTTAATCTACAGGTTTACCTACAGAGGATGAGATTACAAAGACGACCCGACACTTTTATAATGATCCGGGGATTTAATTATACCTTCAGTCTGTACTTATGTAGATAATAAAATACAGCAGAAATTCTGCTTAGTCGTTTGTAAAGTCTCATCCTTTGTGGGTAACCCTGTATCTATCTGAGGAATATTTTTCAAATATACAGGGTGTCCCAAAAAACATGGGAATTCAGTGACGAATTCGATATCGTCTTTTCAAATAATTCTTTGATTTAGTATAGTGATACCTACTGAGAAAGCTGTAATCTGTAAGAGTTTCGTCTGCTATGTTTACATTTTGTTTGTTTATGTTTTGACTGCAACCGGTTGTACTTAGTAAAACAAGAAAATTACAGTATACAAACAGAGTAAACTTGTCCGTATTCACTGTTCATCTTGCGGAGACATTATAGACACATCTTTGCAGTCTTTTACCCTTTTCATTAAATAAACTCTAGCATACATAATAATACTATGGCTTTTGAAATTAGGTATTACGATGCTAATTCATAACAAAGACGATATCGAATTCGTCACTGTATTCCCATGTTTTTTGGGACACCCTGTATAATACTAAGAATCACTATTAAATCAACATTTAGGTTTAGCTTGTTTAAATTTCATTTATAAAGAAAAATATTTTACAACTTTACATTATTGGTCCGCCACATAGTGTACAGCGTTAGTTATGTAAACATAAAATGATATACACAACCGATCATTCTATTAATTAGTTAATTAGTTAATCGGTGTAATCGGTTATGTACATTCGAGCTAAGCTCTACCTCTTCGTTTCCTTTCTCTATGGTCATTTTTTTTGTTAGATCATTTAGTGTATCATTTGGCCCTATTCTGACTGGAGGGGAAAGGGGGGCAATATGCCCTGGCCCCCTATTGTTTTTTTTGTGAGAACTCGAAAAAGTTTTCTGGCTTTTTGAACATCAATATTTTCAGTTCTACGTAAATGGAAGACAAACAAAAATGGAATTTTTGCAAACTTTTTAAAAAAGTTTAAAACCTTCTCAGTATTGGTGGAGGAAGAGGAGCATGTTTCTTTAATCCGGAGAATTTATTAAATCCTCGTTTTTCATCCTTCTCCTCCTGACCCCGGGTAAACGAGGAGATCTCAGGGAATGGTTTTATCCTAGAGAGAATGTTAAAATATTCAAGTTTTTAATTTGTAATTCTGGTCAGTCTAGGGTTTCCAGCGAAAAGTAGAAATCGTTTCGTGAAAATTTCACATTTTCGCGAAAAAAAATTACTGGCCGAAAATTTAGCATTTTGTTCGCTCGCGAAAAATGCGAATTTTTTTCGCAAAATAAGAAATGCGAAAATTTCACAAAAAAATCGGAATTTGTCATCAAACATTTATTAAAGTAAGGGAATTATTTTTCGCAAAATTTCGTATCGTTTTGCATTTTTCACTTAATACATTTTCGCACCAAAAATGCGAAATTTTGCGAAATACGAACGAAATTTTTCGCATTTTTTCGCGAAAGTTTTCTATTACTTTTATCCTGATCCTGATACTGATCACCGCTACTACAGTTAGGAGATTGATTAGCTGCTCTATAATCCTAATTAGCTATCCTGCTAACCTACTTTAGTTAGCAGATTGATTAGCTGCTCTGTAATCCTAACTACCTATCCTGCTAACCTACTTTAGTTAGCAGATTGATTAGCTGCTCTATAATCCTAACTAGCTATCCTGCTCACCTACTATAGTTAGCAGATTGATTAGCTGCTCTATAATCCTAATTAGCTATTCTACTCACCTAGTATAGTTAGCAGATTGATTAGCTGCTCTATAATCCTAACTAGCTTTTCTGCTCACCTACTATAGTTAGCAGATTGATTAGCTGCTCTATAATCCTAATTAGCTATTCTGCTCACCTACTATAGTTAGCAGGTTGATTAGCTGCTCTATAATCCTAATTAGCTATCCTACTCACCTACTATAGTTAGCAGATTGATTAGCTGCTCTATAATCCTAATTAGCTATTCTACTATAATCCTAACTAAATATATTTCTCACCTACTATAGTTAGCTGATTGAGCATTAGCTGCTCTATAATCCTGACTAGCTATTCTACTCACTAGATCTCCACTAGGCTTGGTTTGAATCTAAAGAAATGAAAGTATGACAGAGCTACAGTGAGACTCAAAAAACTATGGAATGTTGTCATAACGCAATAAGATTAAAATTCAACATATAAAGTGAAATGGGTTTAATTACTGTGTTTTATGTTCACAATTTGAGTTTAAATCCAGTTTTCTTGCCTTAGTTTTATAAAAATAAAATTAAAAAAATAAGGATTTAATTTCAGTTTTCTGGGTTGGATAGTTTCTAGGAATCTATCATTCAAAAAGTTAAGTCATTTAAAATCAAAATCTTTATAATAGGAATTGAGTTTTTGCTTAATTACAATAAATAATGATTTTTCAATTGTACACATAAGAGTGGCATGAGAAAAATATTGTTCGGTTGTATTTCAGGATTTCAAATCCTATTTTCTATAGCAGAGATTTGGAAACATGCAAGATGTTGCCATTTTTCATACAGGGTTCCCACAAAGGATAAGACTGCAAAGACGACCTAAAACAGTCAAATTAAGACGATCCCATATTTTCTGCCTTGAATATATATAGTCTTCTAAAAGCTTGTAAACTGATTTGTAAAAGAGAGAAACAAGTTTACAGTGGCTGGAAACCAGGAACATTATGAAACAAACAGTATAAATTCTGTACAATCGTCTCTGAAGTCTCGATCTTTGGGGGTAACCCTGTAAAATGAATTTTATTTTATTGGAAATAAATTCAATGTGATTCAATCCTAGATGTTAAACTTAAAAGCTAAATAAGGGGTTACACTATAAGGATGCAAATATACAGGGTTCCCCACAAAAGATGAGACTTTAATAACGACCTCTATTTAACTAACTATCTAAGGTAGAGTTAAGTTAGGTTTTCAGTCTTGCAAAGAAACTAATATCTTCTACAGTCGTCTTTGAAGTATCATTCTTTGTGGGTAACCCTGTAAAAGATAAAAAAAAAATAGGAGTTGAGGCAAAAAATTAGTTCCTTAGTTCCTAACTGAAGTAAACTTTCTGTAGTTGTTATCCAGACGTCAAAAGTTTAGATTTTAAACTTAAATTTTATCAATTTTACCTCGTGTGGTTGGCAGGGTTTGGTTTGGAAATTAAAACTTTCTCCCTCAGAGTAGGATTGAACAGTCACCAAGGGGGATGGTTTCGATTCCTCGAAATATATCGCCGGAGGTTTCGGTTCAACACTACTTCGAACTGTATCTACAGTAATTAAGTTTATAGTCAACAGTTAGAAACCATATTGTATTATTGAATTCACATTATAGGTCAAATATCACAAGACCTATTGAGAATGACTGCATAGATATTTGTTCTGTATCTCTGTGTCTCCGAGAGAAATGGGATATTTTGCTGGAAACCTCAGAACCATCACCACCAGTCTACAAAATAATATTTGATTATTTTAAAAATGCAAATCTATGCAAAATCTGTATCCAACTTTCTTAACTGATAAACTTGTAGTTTTCCCCGCATACCACGCAACATTTTCGTTTTAAATTAATGATTGTAAATTTAACCAGATGCAGCCTAAAGTCAGACCGAAACTATATTGACCACTGCCAGTTTAGTTAGTGTACCGGAGGGGGCAGTAAAACAAAAGGTTGGTTCAGCTTAGATTCCTTAGATTCAAATGTACTGATGAGTTGAGTGGGATACACCTCTCACAGATCAATATGTTAGTGAAAGATTGAAATGTTGACTTTAAAGTATCGCAACACCTTGTGGCCTTCGTATTAACATATAGTCACTATCATAGTTGTATTTTTTTGTAGCCCTGGACATAAATATGTTAGAACTATATAACACTCATTCTTAGCAACCGTTTCAGAAAGAAACTTAGATCAATGTGACCTACATATATATGTGTGCACTGTATACTTTGGCAGACCATTTTTCAAGGTAACGGAAATTGAGTAACAACTGCATAAAGATGATATTTTCATATAGCAAGTGTAACTGATCATATATTAAACTTTCAGACAACATATATTTATATAGATATGCCATTGCATCAGTCAGAATGTCCCGGGATTATGAAAGCTCTTCTAAAAACGGACCAGTCCGCCCCTATTATCGTTAAACTGGGAATAATTCCGCCCCACGATTAACTATATTTCAATGTTTCATCTACAACGATTATTTTTGCCATATCCGCCTGGCTTGTCATATCGTTGGGATTTACATACAGGGTGTCCCAAAAAACATGAGAATTCAGTGACGAATTCGATGTCGTCTTTGTTATGAATTAGCATTGTAATACCTAATTTCAAAAGCCATAATATTATCATGTCTGCTATAGTTTATTTTATGAAAAGGGTAAAAGACTGTAAAGATGTGTCTATAATGTCTCCGCAAGATGAAGAGCGAAGACGGACAACTTTACTCTGTTTGTATACTGTAATTTTCTTGTTTTACTAAGTACAACCGTATGCAGTCAAAACATAAACAAACAAAATGTAAACATAGCAGACGAAACTTTTACAGATTACAGCTTTCTCAATAGGTATCACAATACTAAATCAAAGAATTATTTAAAAAGACGATATCGAATTCGTCACTGAATTCCCATGTTTATTGGGATAAAACAATTCAAACAATTCCTTAATCTTTAACTTTGAATCGGTGGTTCAAATTTAAACCAGCAGTTGGAAGTTCAGCGACGCAGTTCAAATTTATTTAATTCGGTCCCAGGTTTCAAAGATATAAGAATATTTGAAGCATGTATTCAGTTCTAAATATAGATATACACAATATCTTTTAAATACAACACAATTAAACCGTAAAATCAATTTAAATTAAATATTTTAATTTTCTTTTTTTGGGTAAAATGCGAAACTAACCTTTCCATCTTGTTTCGAGGATTTTGAAAGGTTACTGAAGTTTAAAGATGGCGCATCGAAACTTCTAGATTAAAAATAAACTAAATATTTAGGATTTACTCTGTCTGCAGGAAACATTTAAAAATTAGGTTGAAGGATCATATTGTTCTGTAACTATCAAGGTTGTGTTCAGAAAGTGTGTTTAAGAAAACTGCCAGAATTCGTAATTGAAGATTTTCTTCCAGGAAAATAGAGAAACAATGGCTGAGTTCAAGAAAATGGCGGGTCATCCAACAAGCTGTTTTATGCGAGAGTCAGCTGACAGTGAAATCAACTGATAGCAGAATCAGCTGACTTTAGAATCAGCAGATATAAGAATCAGCTGTCTGAATATTTATTTTTTATCCCTGAGTGAAGAGTGTGAAGAGTAGGTTGATCCGAATCCAGAAACATCCTTCATAGATATCGCAGGCTTTAGGGGACCAGGGATAGGGGCCCGACCCTTCAGGGGCACTCGGCTCTCAACCTAAACAATATTTAGAAAAATGCAATTACCATGAGAGGAAAATTATATACAATACAGAGCAAACCAGACACAGCAATTGTGCAATCGATACAAAGATCATGTTAACTTAATAATTGATTTTTAAGCTACATTTTGCTTAATTTAAATATTGTTTTAATGTCGTCTTCCTATTACACAGCTTTCTGGTTCGCAATGTATAAACTTATGTGAATTAAAAAACTAATGGTTAGATATCTAAAAAAAAAAGATTTTGATTTAACCTTGATATCTGGTGAGGAGATAAGAGATGTTAATGATTTAGCTCTAGATATTCCATCAACAGTTGGAGGTTGTACAGCTTTACCTGGAGCTCGGTTTCTCATGTACAGTTTCCTGTACAGTGCATAAAGTTGGATACATTTGTTTTTGTAATAAGCATAAATGACACACAAACTAAACAATGAAATTAATCAAAAGATTGCTGTGAGAAGTACAGGCCACAATTTTGAAATCCCATAATACAGGAAACATGGTGCAAATATTGTTGCTGCTAATCAAGAAGATTTCAAAAGGATGACATTCTCTAAACAGGATGTCAATGTTCCAACACATCACTCCAAACTAGACAGGTATAAGCTTTGGGTTTAAGACTAAGGACAAGCTAGGCAGAAAAGACGAAAATCACTTTTTAAATGTTTAATACTTCTGATAAACTATTGAAATATAGCCAATCATGGGGCGGAAAGGATCCCATTATAGTACAAGGATAGGACCGGGCCGGTGCAAATTTAGTTGAGCATTGCAAATCTCGTACTCTCTAGAGGCATTAACACTAAAGTATAGGATGAGATACCTGTGAGAGAACGGAGACCTGTCCGGGGTAGAATCATAATCTGGAGTTGGTATTCCAGGGATAAACCGGGGGAGAGGACCCTTAGCTCCCTTCAAATCCTTCTCTCCTGAACCTGAACTTAACCTACCGGATCCTATACCCTCGCTACCACTTCCACTTCCACTTCTAAAAAGAAAAAATTAATATATTCGATTTTTATCTAATGTCCATTTTCTCACTAAGAAAGTGTCATGTCTTTTGTCATTTACAGTGATTATGTTATAATATTGATGAAATAAAGTTAATAATAATGATAAGTTCTCGTTAGATCACTGAAGTTAAACATCGACCGGAAAGTGAATTGATGTCTACACTGGTAATTACTGGTTTAAACCCCGCACCTAACACAACAGATGATGCATATGTGTCACATATGACAATAAAAACCATGAGGATCTCCAAAAATAAAACCTATATACGTTCTTGGAAAAGAACCCCTTTAAGCGAGGTTTCTGGAAGAGAACCACTGTAAGAGAGATTCCTGGAAGAAAATCCATATAAGAGTGGTTCCTGGAAGAGAACCACTATAAGCAAGGTTCCTGGAAGAGAACCACTATAAGCAAGGTTCCTGGAAGAGAACCCCTATAAGCAAGGTTCCTGGAAGAGAACCCCTATAAGCAAGGTTCCTGGAAGAGAACCCGTAGAAAGAATTATCTCCGTGTTCCATCTGATGAAAGTGACAAAACAACCTTTGCAATATCAAAAACTGCCCTAATAGCAAAAAGACTGTTAGACTCAGTTAAAGATTCCTGGTAACACTGCATGATGAAAACACAAAACACACTTTTTAAAGGGACTGTAAAGGAAAAATGAAAGGGGGTATAGGATAAAACCTGGGAATCTCTTAGGCGTTGGACGATACATCTAAGACATCTATCTGATGTTTTGTCTGGAGAAATTGATATAAAACTGTGTCAAATTAATACAAACCTGAGATTCTCAAATTTCTGTGGGATATACTCGTTTTCAGGTTGTTTGTATATTTTCTGAATTATGATCTGTTTAAACCTTCTTCGTTTATACAAAATTTCATATATATAGATTTTCGTATAATTTTGACTCAGTTTTATATCAATTTTTGGATACAGGAACATCAGATAGATGTCTTATATGTATCGTTTAACGCCTGAGATTCTCAGGTTTTATCCTATACCCCCTTTCATTTTTCCGTAACAATCCCTTTGAGATTGCTTAAATGTCGTCTTTCCATTCCACAGTTTTCTGGGTTTAAATATAATATTATCATGGTAATCTTATAGTGATAACCAGAAAACTATGAAAAGGGAGACGATTTTCAGAATCAAGTTATAACTTGAAAATTAGCATGAGACACTGCGATTTTTAAGCTAAGCACACCCATTTCACGAAATTAGCGATTTAATATTTGCTTTGAATAAAAATTAAATATTTAAGCATTGCTATGATATAGTTTTCCTATTCCATTGTTTTCTGGTTATCACTGAAAGTATTGTAAAAAAAATTCATCGACGTGCGTTTTGCATATTTGTCGTTGTTAAGCAATTACCTAAACTCTGGTTTGAAGGTTGAGAGGGATCGAACGGAGGTTGAGGTCTCCGATCTAAACGTACTACTGGAGGAAGCTGTCGGAGAAGGTTGGATCGGAGCTGTTGTGGTGGGAGGTGGAGGTGGAGGAGGTTTAGGTTTAACCTGAACCCTGTTCTCCGGGTCCTGTATACCCCCAGGGTTAGATTCCTCTTCCTCCTCTGTTCCAGGCGCACCTTGGAACATTTTCCTGTGCGCGCGCTTGAATTCTGCGATCAGAAGATCATGACGATCATTCTTCTCCGAGATGAACGGAATCTTTTTCCCTCCCGGAGGACTGTCTCCGGTTTTCTTCAGAATACTCTTTCCAGCCACACCTGGTCATCATTATCATCATTATCATCATTATCATCATTATCATCATTATCATCATTATCATCATCCACTAGTTTCAAGATTCAGCTTACTTAGTTTCATAAACCAATATGTTACTGTTCCTATGTTTGCCACGCGTCTATTTTATTCTCTTCATGAAACTTGCTTTTTAAGGCCATAATGTCGTGTTTGGTATTCAACAATGGCATCTTATTAGATAAAATTAAATTACTCAGAATCGGAAAATGGACTATTTGCTTGAAATACCCTCTCCGGCCTCCCCCCCTTCCCAAAAAAAATAATTAACCAATTTTGTGATAAAGTTATGAATTGTGCAAACTTTAAATCTAATGTGCTTCAAGTACAGGGTTACCCACAAAGTATGAGGCTACAGAGTCCAGAGACACAAAATGTTTCCTTATATTTATGATTCCCTCAACTGTAAACTGGTTTCTTTTTTGCCTAATCATTGAATAAGCCATAAAAAGATTTTACTCAAGGTCTAACCTCGGAATTGTCAAACTCATCATTTGTGGATAATCCTGTAGAAGAAAATTACTTTCTAATAAAGTTGCAAACCTGGCATGGTTGTTTTCTCCGCCCGTCTTCTGATCTCTGACTGAAGCGCTGCGGCTAGACTACTAGCACTGGTGGAACCAGTATCGGAGTCAGGTTCGTCCGAACCTGTTCCTGAACCAGCCGTCCCGGTCAGACTAAACTGTGACACGTCACTAACTACAGGGCGGAGAGGAATGTGAGCTCGGCTAGGGTTGGGACGGGACGGAGTAAAACTATTCTCTTCACTAAACATAGGTTGAAGCAGATCTCCTCCTGCAGATTTTCCCAGAGTGTTCATGAAGTTCTTCTTCTCCTCCTCCAACCTAAACCTCTCCTGCTCCAGGGCCTCCTTCTCCTTCCGTAACCTCTCCTGCCCGTTAAACAGCTCCTGCCGTTCCTGCTCCAACTCCTGTTCTCGGCGCTCCTGCTCCCGTTTCTTATCCTGGGACTGCTCATCTTTATTATCTCTGTTCACTGGAGCAACTGTTGGAGCTGGAGAGGGTCCAGGGAAAGATGGAGCTGGGGGTATACTGGGAACAGTCTGAAAATACCATTTGAAAAATAGATGCAGGAGTCAGAAAAGCGCTTAATTAAAATTTTTCATATTGTTGACACAACAAATGAAAAATACACTCACGACCTAAGTATTAATAATATCAATAAATGATATTTTTTTGAGCAAAAAGGTTTGATGATTTGATTGTTAGATAAAAATTTATATCGACCAGTTTAAGGGGGTATGCTATTAAAAGAATATTAAGAATTGTGAATATGAGATGGCTGTTGGGGTCTCCGATGAAAGAGGGTCTTGCATGAAAGGGGGTCTCGCATGAAAGGGGGTCTCCCATGAAAGGGGGTCTCCCATGAAAGGGGGTCTCCCATGAAAGGGGGTCTCCCATGAAAGGGAGTCTCCCATGAAAGGAAGTCTCCCATGAAAGGGGATCTCCCATGAAAGGGGGTTTCCCATGAAAGGGGGTCTTCCATGAAAACCCCCTTTCCAATAGTACTCCAATGAGGCTGATAGCTTCCCAGACTCCAATATGAGAGTAACACAACTATAATTATTATTTATTTCACCTTATGTCCAGTACTTCTAACTGGTTCTGTATTAGAACTGCTGGCAGAACTGTCATACCCTAAAACAAGTTTATAAATAACCAGCTGAATTACCGGCGTTGCCTGTGGAATTGAAAAAAATGAAATTTTGGAGAAAAATTCGTTTTTTGTTATCCACAGGGTACCCATCGGTTCCCTAAAAAAATGTCAGCCAATTAACTTTAATATGTATATAAAAGGCACAATCTTCTAAAAATAACATTTTAGTAATACCTCTAGGTTGTCTAAAAATAACATTTTAGTAATACCTCTAGGGTGTCTAAAAATAACATTTTAGTAATATCTCTAGGGTGTCTAAAAATAACATTTTAGTAATATCTCTAGGGTGTCTAAAAATAACATTTTAGTAATATCTCTAGGGTGTCTAAAAATAACATTTTAGTAATA